TTCTTTCTTTCTTTCTTTCTTTCTTTCTTTCTTTCTTTCTTTCTTTCTTTCTTTCTTTCTTTCTTTCTTTCTTCCTTTCTTCCTTCCTTCCTTCCTTCCTTCCTTCCTTCCTTCCTTCCTTCCTTCCTTCCTTTCTTTCTTTCTTTCTTTCTTTCTTTTTCTTTCCTGTATATGAGTGCTCTATCTGCATATACACCTGCATGCCAGAAGAGGGCATCAGATCACATTATAGATGGTTGTGAGCCACCATGTGGTTGCTGGAAATTGAACTCAGGACCTATGGAAGAGCAGCTGGTGTTCTTAACTGCTGAGCCATCTCTCCAGCCCCCAAAGTAGAAGACTATAAAGAGAATCAAAAAAATCAAAAATCAAAAATGTCTTCTTGCCTCCTCTCCTATCATACACTCTGTCCTATCCTACACTGTCCCCTCTTTTGATACTTCACATTTAGAATCAGGCTGTTTTACAATTTTCTATCCAAATAGTTCTTAAGTAAGGGTATCTATCATTGGGTATTATCCCTGGGATAACATTTGAAGAGTAAGTTACTGAATCAAAAGATGTGCTTTAAATATTTTAATAAATATCTCTAAGTTGCTACATTCGTTTTCTTTGGTTATACTTCCATTTTTGCTATTTGGACCAACTTGAGCATTCATCACGATGAATTTCGGTGTAACGCCCTCAGGCGCAGGAACTTAACGCACAGTGGCAATCCCGAGGAGGCCAAAAGTGCAGTGGCAATTTGTCTATGGCTTTTGAAAGGAAAATGGCTCTAAGGAGTACGGAGCCGTCGGAGCAGCGCCCTGAATTCTGGGGTTATTTGGACGTCCTCACACAAAGTCCACAGCAGAAATTGTTCTTTTCCACACCTGCTTCGGGGCAGGTCTTTCCATGTTTATTTCCTATTAGAGCTTTCCACTGCTAGAAATTTACGTAAGCGGTGCTTGTCAGTCAAGAGGTGTGCTACTATTGTACCAGAACCCAGAATACTACTGCCTCCTCTCTTTTTTGGGGGGGGGGGGGGGAGGGACTTTCTTTTTTGAGTCAGTAAAGAATGAGATTAATAATTTAATAGGTAGCAGCACCTTCCAGGGCAATACCCTTAATGTCTTTTCTTTCTTCTTAACCTGAAATGCTCTGTGTCTCCTCATAGGTTGTCAGAGAATTTTCTCTTCGCCACTCAGTCGTATCTACTTACACAAGCAGTTAGGCAGTCAACGAAGAAGAAATTTCTTTTTCTGGAGACAAAGGGATATCTCCCACAGTGTGGTTTCTCCGGCTGCAGTTTCTCCGGCCCATCCTGTCCCCAAGGTACTGTCTTGCTGTAGCCTGCCGCAGGATGCCGCAGGCTGCCACAGGCTGCCATTCTGTCTGGCAGGCAAAGGTGGACTGCACAGGCACATGGGAATGAGGAACTTAAAACTTGGTTTGTGATTTCAAATTGCGATGGGAGACGTTTTACCTTAACACCCTGCAGTCTGAGAATATCAAGTAAAACAAAAGTAAAGGTCTGGGCAAACAACTGTCACTTAGCATATTGGGAGTTTCAACTTTTAATCTTGACATTTTTTTATGTCAGACTTCTAGCATGAAACTAAAACTATGTGTATATAGTTCATGACTTGAAAAAAAAAACTGTAAAATGGGGTTGATTTAAGAGAGATTCATAGACACTAACACACTGAATGTTTTCAAGCCCTTACACTTTCTATGTTGCTAATAATGCTGTCTTTGAGTAATTATTTTTAGAGTAAATTAAATAAAAACGAGAGCATTCTTGATCTCTTCCCCTCCAAAGTTTTCAGTATTGTGGAAATACAGGCTCTCTATCTTTGGAAATGCAACACAAAGCAGGTGTAGGGGGTCATTTAGGAAGAAGAAAAATACTATAAGAAGTACTGACTTGTCACAAATATCACCTGCTTTCTTCTTTTTACACTTTTTTTCTTTATAGTGAATCACATTGAGCATACTCCCCAAAGATGAGTAGTCCATTTTTATAATAAGGGTTGAGAGCCAAAAAAGAGCCAAAAGTCCTAGCTTGGCTTAGGTCTGGCCATCGTAGAGAGAGCCAGCGTTTGATAAAATAGTCATAAAATTGACATTCTTTTTCTTTAGTGAAACCAAAGAGTCTCTAGAGCCTGGGGAGACAGCTTAGTCAGAACAGCGCTTGCTCTGTAAACACGAGAGCCAGTGTTCATCCCAGCATCCAGGTAAAACAAAAGCAGTAAAACAACAACAGCCAACAGGACTGTAGCATATGCCTGTAATCCCAGGGCTGTGAAGGGGAGGCAGAGACAGGCAGAACCGTAGGGCTCATTGGGCAGATCCCTAGTCAAATCCCTAAGCTCCAGAGTCAGTGAGAGGCCCTGTCTCAAAAAATAAGGTGGAGAGCAATCAAGGAAGACATCGGAAAATGTCCTGTGGTCCCCACACCTCTGCACACACACAGGAATGTATACTTGATTCCACACGCACGCCCCTCTAGGTAAAGGAGATGTGTTGTGTTACGCATTTTTAGCCAGTTTCAGAGACAACCCACTAGCTCCCAGGCCTGTGGGTGTAAGCAAAGCAGGACACAGAGCAGAAGTAAGAACACAAGCTTGTGATGGGGAGACCTGGAAAGCTCTGGGAGTTGCTGGGGTGATTATAGGAGAGGAGATGCCCCTCCTGGGCTCGGCTGTGACAAGCCAGGCCATTCCGTTCCCTGACTAAGAAAAGCCCTTCTTGGGCTGGAGAGATGGCTTATTCCGTAAGTGTGTGCCACACAAGTGTAGAAAGCTCGGATCCCCAGCTCCCCCATAAAGCCTTGTTGTGGTAGTGTATGCCGGGAGCTCTTGGCTAGCTATGAGTTCAGTGAGAGACCTAGTGGTGGCAGCCTTAGGCCCAGCACTCTGGAGGCAGAGGCGGGCAAATCTCCGATTTCCAGGCCGGCCTGGTCTACAGAGTGAGTTCCAGGACTGCCAGGGCTACACAGAGAAATCCTGTCTCAAAAAAAAAAAAAAAAAAAAAAAAAAATCAAACAAGCAGAAAAAAACACCGAGTAAGTGGATGGAGAAAATCCCTTCTGAACAGTGGAATCAGAAGATTCTAAGGTCTGGACTGGCAGTCTTCACAAATACAAGAGCCCCAACCTCATCCTGTAAAGTGCCGAGGACTGCTCTTGCCCCAAAGTTCTGTGTAGCCTTGCTGTGTTATGGTCAGCAGGGTTGCTATAAATGGCTCGGGAAAGGCCCCGCAGACCTTGGGGGTGACAGGGGCTGTTTAAGATAGATAGCTTTACCTCCCGAAAACTGCCAGTGGGTTTCAGTGCATGGAGACCCAGCCACAGGAAGGATCAGGGCTGGGCGTGGGGTGCGGGGTTAGGAGAGGGCTCTTCTTGATAAATGATGGAAATGCTCTAGGGGATGCTACTGTCCTCGGAGAAGACCTCAAGAAAGACAAGCTGTTTTGTTTTGACCTCTGGTGCCGGGTGGTCAGGCTACCTAGTGTAAGAATGTGTGTGTGTCAGGGCCCCACCGACTTGATGCCCTTCCACGTGGACTGGTAGAGGGTGCCGGGAGCTGTCCTTCGCAAACATTTTATCACTGTGAGAAGATGAGCGTGCGTCTTAATCGGCCATTGTGCAGATTGGGAAGTTGCGCTTTTTCACCCGCGGGCTCTGGGGCTGGAGTAAGGAACAGAAAACCGCTGTTTGTTTTGACCAGAAATGTACTTCAGCCGGAGCCGCCTCGCAGCCTGGTGAGGTTAACAGACCGTCCAGAGCAGCGCTACCAGGCCACGTTAAGTTCAAAAGGGCAGGGGAAGGAACCCGGGGTAGCCTGAAGGGTCTGTCGCTCTGGCTTTGGAGGTCGGTGCCGAGGCAGGAAGGGCAGAACCCCATGAAGCGGGAGGCTGTGTCTGAAAAAAAGGGTGCCATTGTCGTGTGCCGGGTTCTGATCTTGGTTTTCAATCCCTTCTCCTCCAGCACATAAAGAAGCCAGACTATGTGACGACAGGCATTGTGCCCGACTGGGGAGAGAGCATAGAAGTGAAGAATGAAGAGCAGATTCAAGCGCTTCGCGAGGCTTGTCAGCTGGCCCGGCGCATCCTCCTCCTGGCCGGGCAGAGTCTAAAGGTGGCTTCTTACCCAGCCTCAGCACGGCTCACATAGGCCTGTCTCTCCCTTGCCCTTTCACTCTCCTTTTGCACTCATCTATGATTAAGTTGATTTTTTTTTTTTTAAAGGAAAGGCCTTCAGATGGGGGAAAGGGAATTTTACTATTTTATGTGTTTATTCAAGAAATAATGTAAACTTCCAAATTCCATCGTTACTGGCAGAATTGTAGAGATACTTGGCTGACCCAGCCTAGCCAAGGTGATCTACGGCAGAGGGCTTTGGTGGCATTCCTGAGAGTCAGTTATTTCATAATAACCCCAAACATCCTGCCATCTCCAGTTCATAAAGAAATATAAATGCAGTTTCAAAGTGGAGACTCAGTGGTGAATTTGCTCACTGTGTCCTCTGTGTAACCAGTCTGTTAGAGCAACATAACCAAGCATGGGGTGAATGAAATAAAAAAAAAAAAACACAGAAAATTATTGAGGAAGTAAACTAGCATCTACTGAATAATTTTACTTTGCTATAGAATTTTAGTTATGGTTTGATTTCATGGCGATAATCTTCATGTACTTATGAAGCTCAGTTTCTGCGATTGGGGTGTAGCTCAACAGCAGAACACTTGCCTAGCATAGGTGAGGCCTCAGGTTCAATCCCCAGCACTGCAAAACAGAAACAAAATGAGACCCCTCAATTTCAGTTATCTTTGGAAAATAACTGGGTATGTTCCAGTATGGGGAACATTAAAAAATATTTATATAGACATGAAAGAAACCAAACTTATGAGAGTTGTTAGAGACTGAGTTTTTAAATGATGGTCCATCACCTCCCTGCCTTTGCTGCAGAGCTCGCCCATGCGCCATTTCAACAAGATAAAAAGGCGTGACTGAAGCTTCCTCTCTGGCCTCTCTGAGCCAGCATTCTGCTGTATTCTTATTTGTGTACCTCCGTTAGCTCTGACCCTTGAGGAAGAGAAAGGAATTGATAAAAGACGGATTGTTGGAATCCTCCGGCTGATAGAGACTCATTGTTTAATTGCTCACTTTATTTCCTCGTGGCCTCGAACACCATCATATACACAAACGGTCATCAGAAGCGCTCAGTTGAGGACGGTGGCTCGAGTCACCGTAATGATTAGCGCTATACCACGAACTGCTCACGGTGAATTTATACAGTCTCACCTTGGCAGTGCTGCTGTTGTAGACACAGTCAATAAATACAGAAAATGTCTTCAACTGGCGCTGCACACTTTCTTTAATATTTCAGGTTGACATGACAACTGAAGAGATAGATGCGCTGGTTCATCGGGAAATCATCAGTCATGACGCATATCCCTCACCACTGGGCTATGGACGCTTTCCAAAATCTGTTTGCACCTCTGTAAACAACGTGCTCTGTCATGGCATTCCTGACAGGTATTCATTTCTCAATAATGTATTGTTCCTTTGGAAACTAAGATTCATAGCACTATTGAAAAATACCGTAGTTCTTTTGAAACCTACCTGTGTGCATGCTTCTGAAATTGATTATGATAAAACAAAAATTCTGAGGTAACTTCTAATGGCTATAATACCACCATTAGATGTTTCTTAAAGCAGTATGTGATTTTATGTAGTGTTTGTACATTACCTATTTCTTTTAACTTATTTAATTTTTACCATATGGTAATAGAGGCAAATTTTTATTGACAACTATTATTTTGGCTGTGTACAAACTTAAGGTAATTAAGAAGCCTATCTTTTTAAAGACTCATCAATTCTTAAGGCAGCAATATTTGTTTCATGTATTTCTTATGAGGTGTGGTATGATTAGCATGAGACAAAGGTCAGGTCCGGTTACTCCGTCCATTCCTCCTTCGCTACAGAGCACTGCCGCTCACTGGGTCTGCAGTCGTTGGACATTTATTTTCACATTTCTTTTTATTGAGATCTATCAGCATTTTTTTTTTCTCTGTTTATGTTTCAGCCGACCCCTTCAGGATGGAGACATTATCAACATTGATGTCACGGTGAGTAAATCATATAAAAAAAAATCATCTTTGATCAACTTCAGAATTGCTAGTAGCAACAAGAAGGAGAGTGGCCTGAAAATGTGCATGGCGGCCCGGGGGCGGGGGAGCGCTGTTTACTCCCAGGCCCGGACACAAGCAGCTGCTTGCCTTTTTTTTTTTTTTTTTTTTTTTTTTTGTCTTTAACTCTGTGTTTATTCCAAGTAAAACCCAGGCCTGACTTGAATTTCAGGCTGGAATCAGATGCACTGAGATCAATGTTGGCCTAAGTGAAATGTCAGCCCAATCCTGCTATGTGTCATGTTTCTGAGAAGGTGTAATTGTTATTGATCCACTGTGTAGTTAATGCGCAGCACCGCAGCACCAGGCAGCTGCCGAAGCCAGATATGTATGAGATGAGCTAACACGGAGAAAGCCAGCATTTTTCCTTCACTCTGCCAAGATTGATCTTCCTCTTCCTGCTGATTTTGAGTGGGGCCTGTCATTATCTTACTCTGTCATTAGGGGCTACATTGGCCTGCGTGTCAGTCTATTTGGACAGCAACTCTCTTGCTAGCAGTGTTCCCTAGATTTATTAAAATCCCTGAAGGTAACATTGTGTTCCATCTCTGGCGAAGAGAGGCCCGAGCTCAAAGCACACAAGTTGAATGTTTGGGTTTTTTTTTCTTTTTTTTTTTTTTTTCCTGTCTGAATTTAAGTTTTCACCAAATGGTCGATGTCCTTCCTTTTTAAATAACAAATCTAAGTGATTTAACTCAGGGGCTGCAGGTTGTACAACCTGCAAGCTTTTTTGAGTTCTTTAGCATCTTACCATCCCCAAATTTAATTTTTTTGTGCTCATATTATTTCAGATTGTTTGTAATGGCACCTCTTGAACCATACAAAGGATAAATAAAATTTGTGCATCTATGATTAACTAGTAACTTTTAAATAAATAAAGCATAAACATATGCCTGGGATTCTAGGAGATGGGTACTTGTCAAAAAATACATTCTCTATTTATGAGGAAATATTTTTAGTAATAATTATTTTACATCCAGACTGAAAGTCAGGTAGCAGTGGGAATAAGAAGGAAATAGGCACTGGGAGATTCTGTCAGATTTTTAGCTGTTTAAGTTAAATCAGCTTGCTCTTTCTCTTCATACCATCTGTGCACAGGGATAGCCAAACAGTTCCTTCTCATGTCCCTTCCCATGTCACTGTGTCTTAGAATGTTCCACACATCTTACTGGGATCTTTCCAACTCAGAATACTGTAGAAGGTATTTTATGAATTGCACCTAAAATAAAGTCTTTCTTGTGATACATTTTTATCTTGGAATGAGCCTGATTTTAGGGTTTCACATTTATTTCCTCACATAGTCACCCACTAATAAAATATTGCTGCTGGAATGAAATGGGAAGTCTCCCATGCTGTTCCCAACATGCCTAGAGAGAATGCATTAGTCCTTTCTGTGTTTCCTAAAGGCTTTTAATAGAAAATTTTATTTCTGAAGCTTAAATTATTCCAACAGTTCTTAAACTCACTTGAAAAGCCTTCCAGTATCTAGAAATGTAAAGGATCCTAAAAGACATATTGGTCACTATCAAAAAATTGTATTTCTTATGAAATATTTTATTAACTGAAGAACTGTATTTTTAGCTCCTATACTTTTGTCTAGAAATACCCATTGCATTTTATGGTTCTTTATGTCTGATATGTACCCCAAGAAAATATGTTGCTTTTTCTCTTAAAAGTTATTTTTTTTTTAAAGACAGTGTGGTGTTCACAGTAGTTGCTCAGTTAATGCTTGTTCAGTGGAGCATAAGAATGGTTTGTGGGGACAAATTGTAGTTACAGATGACTGCCCCAGACTTTCAAATGTATCTTCTTCCTACCAAGCATGTGCAAAGCCCTGGGTTCAATACCTGGCAACACACAATCCTCAATGTTCCATATGTGTATTGAATCCTTCAAATAGTTATCTTAGGAGCTATTGAAAAAGTAGTATGAGCAGGGCTAGTGAGACGGATCAGCAAGTAAAGGTGCTTGCTGCCAAGTTGACAGCCTGAGTTTAATCGCTGGGGCCACGTGGTGGAAGGAGAGAATTCATTCCTGCAACTTGTCCTCTGGCCTCCACACATGCCGTGCCTGACATCTGTGCGCGCGCACACACACACACACATACACATTTACACACATGATAAAGAATTTTAATATAGCTTTAATTTTAAAGTACTATGAAACAGCAAATTAAATTTAATTTGAATTGAATTTAAATAATACATTTTACTTAAAAAACACAAATTTTCTTGAAAAAATATACTCACGTTAGCAGATTTTTTTTACTCTTGTATATGATGAAAGTGGTCATTTTTCTGTTAAGGAATATAAGTGGAAATAAATTAGGAAACACAACTCTACCGTGGGGGACTAAGAAGCCATCAGCTTATCAGATTGATTGGGGTGTACCTCTGTGCTCTGCCAGTAACCCAAACACATTGCTGTCTGTGCCTCAGCTCTGTGAAGCCTGAGTGGTGCCTTCTTGCTACCCAGGAGAGCATTTTCTTCAGTGCATGATAGCACATGGGGATGACATCAGTTCAGACAAAACTTAAATGAACAGCTCTCCTCAGAGTCTCTGCACCCTGCCTTAGGAAAAGGGGAGCTGTGAAGAGAATTAAATAGGATAAGTGTATGCGAAATAGTAAGCGCCGTGTTTGTCCAGGGGTCAGTAGTTGACTCGTCTCCTCTGTCTTCTACACCTATTCTAGTGTTGGGTAATTATTGGGTTTTCTTGCTGTTGGTCAAGATCACATGCAGCCTCTGAGTCATTGAAGGTGATAAAATGATCTTTCTGTGGTCTTACTCCTAAGCCTGCCTTGATATGTTCTAACTCTTTAAAAATCCATGCGGAGTGTTTTCTGTTGCCATCACGCTTTCTGGAACAAATTTCATTTCTAGACGTAGAATTTTTATAACATATTTCGTCCCGGCACGGAGCTACCTCAGGTCTTAGCCTAAAATTCTCCTGTCCACCATTGCAACGCTGGCATGTGCCTCATATTTCTTCGTGTCATTATGTATCATTTCTAAGTGTAGAGCTGGTAAGTAATAGGACATGTAAATCCTCATGACACCCGGGACACATCTTACTATGCCAGAGAACTTGATTTTCTAAACCTACTGTGGTAATTGCAAGTGAATGTAGTTAGTAACTAATTTTTCCAAGCATAGTTTTGCCTTTGTAGAAATACAATGAAGGATCAAAATGTTTCAGTGTTATTACTAATCATAAAGCTGAAGTAGCCGAGCTGCTCATTTCCTTGTTTTTTTGATTTTGCAGAATCATCACATGGTTTCAGCTTTTAAATTTCAGAATGGTTTTAGTATCTCTCTCTTTTTTTTTTTTAATTACTATGTGAACTTGAGACTAACTCTGAGAAGATAATGAATTTACTAAATGCATAAACAAATAGTATATCTACTTTTGGAGAATAGAATTCCAGAAAAGAACCTTCCTTAAAATCCTTAAAATCTGTGCCTGTGTTTAGGTCTATTACAATGGCTACCATGGAGATACCTCTGAAACCTTTTTGGTGGGGAATGTGGATGAATGTGGTAAAAAGTTAGTGGAGGTTGCCAGGAGGTGCAGAGATGAAGCAGTTGCAGCCTGCAGAGCTGGGGTCCCTTTCTCTGTAATTGGAAACACAATCAGGTAAGCCTTGCGCTGACAAGTACAGGGAGGGCTGGCGAATGGTACAAAGGTCATTGGTGGCTTGGGATAAAGCTGATGACATGTTTTATGATTCACAGCCATCACTTCAGTCTGATATCAGTATGTGAACTGCCAGACTGCAATATTGTTCCCTGGGTTGGGAAAAGAAAAAAAAAAAAAAAGTGGCTTTTAAAAAAGTGAATTTTTTGACCGGTCAGCTAGGAGCAATGAGCACTATTTATATGGGTGCTTTTGTTTTAGCTTAACATGTTGGCTGTGGTGGTCCTTTATTCAAATGTGAAAGAAGGCACCTAAGAAAGGGGCTGATGGTCCCAGCTCTCGGATAGTAAGAAAGGAGAAAAACTCCACTTCATGAAGGAAGAGAGAGGCATTCCCGTGTTGCAAAGACCAGAAGTGTGAGCTCAAGGCAGCCTGACGTTTTTAAATTAGCAGATTAAGAAATAGCCCAAAAGGCCGCTCCCCTGGGTCAGTCTCTGTAAAACATTGTTTACTTTGCCTAGAGTTTTTCCGTGATTGCTTTTTGAGTATAAGTATATTTTCTGAATTCAAGACTTTTCTTTGTAATCTGTTTCCCACTTTCAGATCTTTTTCTTTTTCTTTCTCTCTCTCTCTCTCTTTTTACCCTAAATGTTTTGAAGTAGACATTCAGAATATGTGTTTTCATTTAAAAGTAACACATTTTGTTACAGAAGACCGGCTGGTCTCCTTTAAAGTGCTGTTCTCATTAATCTGAGCCTGAGCCTTTCAATACATCCCGTTTGCCCAAAGGATGGAAAGCTTAGTCACCTTGAAAAGATGCTGCCTCTTTCCCTGAGTACGCCTTCAAATACTTTAAGAAAAAAGGCAGTAAAATATCAGTTAAATGTATTTATGGCTTTAAAAATATTGTAACAGTGTCTGAATCAAACTTTAGTAAAATCTCTTTGGGTTATATCTGAGAAGCTTTTATTGAAGACTTTGAACAAAATTGTGTTTTTGACAGTTTTAAATTATAGGCTAACTAGCCTGGGAAAAAAGGATAGTGTCTCTCTGTTCTTTCATAGGAAATGTTGAATCAGACCCCTACTGGGAAAAGAAATTTAATGCATATCTCACTATCTTACTGTCCATGAATATAATAGAAATGAATTCAAAATGCAGTTTTATTTTTGCAAATGGGATGAGTCGATGGATGCACCTCATATTTTTGAACACCTAGGGTTCAACAAATTTACTGGTGGCGCTCTTGCATTTTAACAAAATTTATTCTTCAGTAGAAGGGGGCAGAGAACACTGGATTCTTATTCAAGCATTCTGTGGCGCTGTGCATTCACGGCTGTGTCTAAAGGGCATGTCAGCCTTTGATTCTCTCTGAGAGGTAATTATCCTTTTCCTGTCACGGAACAACAAATGATAGCTAACTACAGAGGCACATTTGCAGTAGTCACATTCATCAACTGCAGAAAAAAAATTCAATTTAATTGTGCAACACAGCTGCACACGGGCTCTGAGCATTTCTGTTGTTCTCCTTGTCTCGCTATTCCTCCCTCCACATCTATTTTTTAAACTTTTTTTTTTCTGGTTATTTTTTCCCCTTTTTTTTGTCTCTTCTTCCATTTTTACTCTCTGTACTTTCTTGTTAAAGTAATTTTCCTTTGTGGCTCTCATTCTTTTTTCCCCATTGAAGGCTATGAATGTAGAAAATTATCACAATTACTCATATAATTGAGCCTCTTTGTAGCAAGTGCAACTCCAGTAGCCTTTCTCCATCATGAAAATGGTTTCATTATAGGGTTTTTCATATTCTCTGACACCATCTACACAGAGGAGCAGGCGTGCAGATGAGCTGTACTGGGAACAGGCTAGATCAGTAAGGTCACAGTAGGAATAATTAGCTCTGCTATGGAAAGAGCATCCAGGCCTTTTACTGCTACATAAATGTACTGTCCGTGGCTTTTAGCCACAAAAAAACTTACTAACAAATGGAGCTCCCGCCTACTACTTTGAAAAAAAGATTTGTATCAACACTACAATTTTCCATCATTAAGACTAATAACACAGAGCCTAGTATACATCAAGGGGAATAAAAAGAAAAATCTCACATTCAAGTGGTGGCTGGGCGCTGACCTTTGTTCCCTCTTTTTGTATACGACTTAACTCTTTACAAAAAAGAGCCACACGCCACACCAACATGCAGGTGAACTCCAGCTAGTACTTGCAAAGCACAGCATTCAGTTGGAAAATCTGATAAATCTCCGTGCAGGATAATGCATTTCATTACATATTCACTACATTAATTCCAGCTACATAAAAAAAAAAAAAAAAAAAAAAAAGGGGAATTCAAAGTGACATTGGATTTTAGCTATCTGGACTCGAAGGTCAGTTTGGGCAGAGTATGAATTTGCATGAACAGGCTCCTTTGAAAACCAGACCAGCCCCAACAACTACACGCAGAAAACTCTGTGGAAAATAACAGACAATGAACTTTTTACTCTCACACTAATGCATTTCATTATTTAGACGGTTTGTGTCTGCCACTGGTGAGGAAGCTGCTCCTGATTCTGACAAATGTTTGTTTGTTCGGATGCACGCAGCAGTATTTCTGGACATCTATTGTTTCGCCTTTTCTTATTCAGGAAAAATCTTCAGGGAGTAAATAAACAGACGAGAGCCACCTTTCAGTCGGAAAAAAGCACTTGAAATCTTTACAGACCAAAGGTTTACAAACATGTTTCAGCTTGGTCTCCTTTTCTTTAAGATTGTCAGTCGCCATCTGCCATAGCCTCCTTATGCTGATAGACTCTGAGGACACCCAGGCAACTTGCACTCCTCTGGGGTAGCCATCCCAAGCCTTGAGGTCCCTACAGGAGAACATGAAATCCTGCTCAGAAACCTAAAGAATAGGAGGGTGTCTCTGAACAAGGGTCAGCTGAAATGGTTTTACAAAGACAGTTTTCTCTGTGCCCTTTGGCTTCGTGAATGACTCCTAGGCCATGGTGCTATTGTGCCCGCTCTCTAAGCGTGTTCGCGCTGCAGCAGTGTCTGTACTGTCCATATGTGTGAGAGGAACATAAATGTGCTGCTACATGCATCACTAATAGGTGACAGTTCACTCCAAAATAATTTAAACTTATAGTTGGAGATGTCATGATGAAACTATCAATAAATGGGCTTTTTTAATGTTTAATTCATAAGTATATGTTTTGATATTAATTTAGAACAATACAAAGCAGATTTTTTTTAGAAAAATAATCTCTTTCTATTAGATTATGCGCATTTAAACAATAAGTGGCTTAGGCAAAATAAGTCATTTTAACGTCATCTGTGATGGATTTTCCTTGACAGCTACTGTAAATTACAATTACACTGCGTCTCTCTGCACATGAAAGTAAGCATTGCAATAAATTATCTTTTATTTCAATCCATCATGTCTGCTTTTCAGAAACAGAGAACCTCAAATAAAAGTTCAGCACTATTGTAAGAAAAATACAGTAATTTGTGATCCAGCTTGAAACAAAAAATAAAATGTCCCACTTTATTGGAAAACAGTTGTTGGCTTTCAAAAATATGACTAATTGTACTTAAACATTTCTGTCATTAGAGGGAATCTCTGGCTTTGTTCATCCCTCCATTCAGAGGCTACTGCTGGGACTGGAAACCTAGAGAGATTCAAGTAAAATTCCCTAACTTAGCAAATCAGCTGCCTTTTGGGACCCTTCTCTGCAAGAGATGTGGTCCTATGGAGACCCGTGCTCTCGGGACGTGTGTCAAAGTGGTAATAAAATGTTCTGTGCACAAGCCTAGTGCTTTAACACTGTGTCCTTAAACACAGCACTCCTCTGCCCTCTTGGGGAATGCAGTTTTAGTAACGTAAGTTACTTGAAATGTGTTAAGAAGTTCTATTTATTTAGACAGTATGTAAAAGGCGTCTAACTGCTTCGATAAAAAAAGAATTAACCTGAAGAAAAAAAGTCACAAGAAGCTCCTTAAAGGAAGTCTCTCTTCCACCTCCAAACTGGCACTTAGCCGTGAGCAGTCACGATGCAATGTAACTGAGACTGAGCTACCTTCTGCGCCCCTCCCTCAGCATTCCTGCTGAAAGTCATGCAGTCTTGACTGTTGCTCTCACGACCCAGCAACATCCTGTCTGAGGACTTTAGCTAGAGAAAATCAGACCTTGAGAGTTATTTTCTGTAGATTTCAACAAGGAAAAAGGTTTCATCTGCGAAATGTTCAGGGCAAGAAAACCCTTGTGCTGAGACAGCTGTAGTTCTGCCATGCTCTGGCCTTGGAGAGCAAATGCCTCCCTCCTCAGTGTCTTCCTGCCCCTCTAGTCCAGCTTCTCCCCCTGATGTTTCAGGGAAGAGGTACACCCCACCGTCCCATGCCACACCAGGGTGACCAGCGCCCGCTCTCCCGTTGAAGATGTGGAATTTGATTTCCTAAGTCCTTTGGATTGTCTTTACAAAATCAGATTTAAGTCCCACCACCAGGAGAAGAGTCTGTGCTGACCATGTGTTCCAAAGCAGTGGAAAGCGTAAGTGTTCAGTGCTTGGGAACGTTAATGAAATTTGATCTCACTTACGAGTATGCTGAAAACTACACGTTCAAAAGGGAGATACCTGGATGGAAGTGCATCCCTGGCTCCTGGGAGCCAAACACATTCCCCCAGGGAGCTGAGGGAGACGTGTCCAGTCCGCCCCTCCCCCCCAGCTGTGAAATCCTCCAGCCCCTGCACACATGACACCGATTCTAGGATACTGTAGCCCGAAGTTCCATCAGGACCCAGAGAGCAAACTGTGGCAGGAAAAGGTACTCAGATATCTTTAGTTACTTAGTGGTCACACGGCCTCTTTTATAAAGAGGAGTGAGAGGTATGAAGGGGGGACCCCTGGAGGGCTTTTAGAGTGGTCTTTCTTCTCTCATTGGAAGTCAAAATGGAGATCACCATTATAACACACATTTAAGGCGTAGCTGTGAAGCCTGCCAATCAGTTGGATCATTGAAGGAAAAATAAAATAAAAATACTATTTTTTTTTTTAAGAAAATACTAGCTGGGTGTGGTGGTGTATGCTTTTGATCCCAGCACTTGGGAGGCAGAGGCAAGTGGCTCTCTGAGTTCGAGGTCAGCCTGGTCTACAAAGCGAGTTCCAGGATAGCCAGGGCTACACAGAGAAGTTCTACCAAGAGAGAAAGGAAGGAAAGAAAGAAAGAAAGAAGGAAGGAAACTTAATATTGAAATGCTTTTCAAATTATTGAACTAATGTAACTTACGGATGTTGGGAGAACTCATTCTTACATAGAAAACACAAATAATAACCCAGGCTATCATATTATTTAATCATCTCTCCTCTGTCTACTCTCCATCCTCAGTTTTGTTCAGCAGTTTGTGGAGCTAGGAGAAATACCTTGGAAAAGATGTTTTCCAAAAACACCTCCAGGCCAAAGCCCAAGGAGCTACAAAATAGCCTGGGTCCCAAAGCACAGCTTCAGAGTTGAAGACCGCCTTATCCTCCCTGTGGCACTAGCCTTGCTTATCCATTTCTACCCCCCTGGTTACAGCAAAAATAAATGTCCATGCGATGTTGCCTCTTTGCTGGTCACAGGGACATCCTTGTCTAAGGGAAGAGTCTCACAAACCTGGGAGTACTTTAAAATGTTCTTAAAAACCAGACTGGGCACAGTGGCACATGCTTGTGCTCCCAGCACCTGAGGATGATGAATTCAAAGTCAGCCTGGCACACAAATTAACACCTTGTTAAAAAAAAAAAAATTTCAGAAGTGTATGTAGACGTGATGGTTCATAAAGAAGTTAGCCAAAAGGCTCTGGGTAGGCTGGAGAGATGGCTCAGAGGTTAAGAGCACTGGCTGTTCTTCCCGAGGACTGGGTTCAGTTCCCAGCACTCATGTGGCAGCTCACAACTGTATATAACTCCAGATCCAGGGTATCTAACACCTTCACACAAAAGGCTCTGGGTGAAACTAGAGTCTGTTAGAAATGAGTTTGAGAACTGAAACTTTGCATTTGCTAGGAATCGCAGCCATGGTTCCATAACCACCTGACCGTTGCTATGGGCAAGGCTGGAGCCATTATGCCCTTGGCCCGCATGAAAATATAAACCGTTAGTGTTGTACATGTTATCAGCCTTCCCCAAACAACTATATTCACCCAATCTCAGTGAGAGCAAACCTTTCCATCCTTGCACATAAAGATTTCAGAGTTGGGTTCTATGTGCTGGGTTCCATTTATAAGGGATAGCTAGAACCCAAAATGTCTGCATTTATTATTAGGTTCAGTAGTAACACATTTAAATAACATTGTGATAAAACTGTTTGCCAATGAACGTTCCTAATGATATGTATCTTACGTGGAACCCCCCCCCCAAAAAAAAAGTCACCAATTTTGAAAGAAAATGGACAAGACAGACAATCACTTGTGTCTATTTTGAAAGTGTTTGAAAATGTTTAACACTCTAATTAGATGATAGTACAGGAAATCATGAAAGTAGAAAGTCATACTTGGATAGTATAATTTTGTTTAATGCTTGAACAGTTTTTGAACAGTTACTTTACCCATAAAGCCATCAAAACGAGGTAAGTTCTCATGACCCATGTTACAGACATGTGTGTGTGTGTGTGTGTGTGTGTGTGTGTACCTTCCTTGTGAATGTCAGTCTACAGTTGTATGTGTGCATATCTTCCTCTTGCCTAAAAATAACCTTTGCTAAATGTACTTTGTATAGCTAAAAGCACTGTTAACCAGCATCAGCCAGCACTGAAAGAATCAAGGCAACATTCATGCTATTATCAGACTTGAAATAGAACTGTTTTTTTTTTTCTTTTTCAGAGACTATTTTAAGTGATTTTATTTTTAATCTCAATATGCATTGAGATATTTGATTAAACTAGATGTCTTTTGGTCACTTTAAAGCCGCATAACTCATCAGAATGGTTTGCAAGTCTGCCCACATTTTGTGGGACATGGGATAGGATCATACTTTCATGGACATCCAGAAATTTGGCATCATGGTAAGAGTTAATCTGGAATTGATTTATTGAATGGTATCAGTTTTCCTTCAAGGTTTTTTTTTTTTTTGTTTGTTTGTTTGTTTGTTTGGGTTTTGTTGTTGTTGTTGCTTTGAATCTACATTGTCACCCCCACCCCCAACCCCGTACCGGGGTGTGAGGTTATCTCCTTAATTTTAACCAGGATGTTACCGTGCTGTTGGATTACAGTTCAGCACATTTCCCAAATGCGGTTTATTTTGGCTTTGGTCTTCTCCTGAAGGATGCATGGCTGGAAGGCCTGAGGGATGTTTGTCTAGAAAAAGTTCCTGCAAACAAACCCCGCTGCACGGCCGCCCCAGCAGCGTGCACACATGACTGTTTTCTGTTTTCCTTTCTCTACCCCCTTTTTTAACCGCTGACTGTTGTGGTTAAACTTCGCTACATCCTACACAGCGCTGACAGCTGATGTATTTAGCAGCATGTACTCTTTAGTGTTTTCTGGATTATGCCCACCCTTGTGTTCCTTCCCAGAATCCGGTTTTTCACTGTCTGGGTGTGCAGCCACCACCGGGAGTTGTGGGAGGATTTGGGTTAAGGTAGGAAGCAACTGTGCGGAGGAGTGCCAATGGGGTGCACATTTGAACAAGGGCTGGGAGAAGGTTAGTCCCGGGTCTCTGGAAGAAGTAGCTAGAAAGCATCCTAGATGATCCACGGAGACGCAGCCAAACAGTGCTCCTTTGAGCCAAAGAGTCCCACCTGAGGCAGCTCAGAAGAGGCGTGTAGAAAGAGCCTGTCGCCTTGCACCTCACAAGTGCCAGTGTGTGCATCTGTTCAAGGATGGAGCTACTGCCTCCTGCTCCATCCTTCATGCCAGGTGGCATCGTTTGGCACCTTTTCCCCAAGACTTTGTTTGGACTTAGGGAGACCAGGAGACCTAGCATCAGGTGGCTTGGGGAACGGCAGACACGAAGAGGAGAAGGGACTGCATTGGTATCTGTGAGCACCCTAGCTGACCCCTGCCAGACCCAACAGGCTGCTGAAGAGTGGGTGGGGTCTGAGAACAGAGACCACAGAGGCTGACACACCCCCATCTCCTGCAAGCCCTGTGTTTAAACCTGTGGGCTCATCCAGGTATCCAGACCCCTCCACCCTTTTCAAAAGCAAAGTGGCTAAGTGTTTTTAAAGCAACCCAAAGCCCCCCTTGTGTCCCTTTCTCTCCTTGGTTCCCTTTCTCATACCTCCCCATGTTTGCTTTGCAGCGAACGACAGTGATCTGCTCATGGAGGAGGGGATGGCTTTCACCATAGGTAAATTCCAGGCCCCTCTGTGGAGGGCTGGGTTCCTCCTGGACGCAGACTGGCCTTTGCCCAGGCTTCAAGTCCTGCAAAGGCCTAATGAAGCTAATCAGCATAATGAAATAATTTGGGTGCATAGTAAATGTGATTTAATAATATCCTCTAGCCCCATCTTCCTAAATCAGATACTTACCGACACATTTAGGAGACTGCAGCCGCCCAACCTCTAATTCTGTTACCGGCATAATGTGCTGTTTGTTTTTTTGTTTTGTTTTTTCATTAACACCCAGTAACTAGAGACGATTAAGTCCCTTGCTCTCTGTCAGCAAGTGGCATATGCTGTGTGGCGGCCCATTCCTAGCTGATGGCATGATTGGTGTCACCACCAAATTCCAATCACCTAGGGCCACCAAGGCCTCCTAGTTCTGACTGTAGGACTTAATGGAGAAGCAATTAGGGTAAAATAAGAAAATTGTTATCTGCTGATTAATGAACATTTTGAGCATGCTTTAAAAATTCAAATATTTTTTAAAAACGAACTGGTATTTATAAGAGGGACTGGTGTTTGGGTGGTTATTATCCACAGGGTCCTAATTAAGGCTTGATTAAAATGCCCTTCTTTCTCTTAAAAAAAAAAAAAAAAACACGAACCAGGCAACTTCATACATTTTTTTAATGCTGTTGCATTTCCTCTTCCTACTGTTTAGTTTGTAGTGTTCTATGTAAGCAATATCAATTATCAGCCCTTACAGGATGACAACAGGAACCAACGGTGGGTACAAACACTCAGGGGGAGGGAGAACCTCCTTAGACTCTCTCTCTCTCTCTCTCTCTCTCTCATTACAAACTGAAACAATATCTACTATACTAAATGTTTTCTCTCCCACAGAGCCAATTATCACTGAGGGGTCCCCAGAATTTAAAGTCCTAGAGGATGCATGGACTGTGGTCTCACTGGATAACCAAAGGTGTCTGCCCTGTTGTTTCTGCTGGGGAAGGGAGGCCCTGCCACAGTGCCTGGAGCTGCCAGTGCACACAGCGTGCTGACTGCCCCGTGTATTTCAGGTCTGCCCAGTTCGAGCACACAGTCCTCATCACCTCGACGGGCGTGGAGATCCTGACCAGACTGCCACAGGAAGCCTGAGGGTCCACCAAGGAGACCTTTGAGAACTGAGGAGCCAGCCTCAGGCTGCATGGGAGTCTACAGTGTCTCAGAGAAAATGCAGTGAGGACGGGCTTTGAGGACTCAGGTCTGCCGCCTGAGATAGCCCTCCAGGCTTCCTAGCACAGAAAAGCCCTCTGGAGAGAAACAGACCACCCTTCCTGGGCAGGTGGTTTTCCCTTTCGATGTCCAGATTGTACCCAAGTCAAAACAAAAACCTCTTAAACCCGTTGTGTGCACTCTCTACATTTAACAGGTACAAAGGGGAGAGGGACAGATGCTTAAGTTTTGGAATCTCCAAACTTTTAACATGCCGCAGACCGGAAGAGCGGAACCCTGTAGCTGAACAATTGTTTTAACCTGGTTTTTCCCTCTGTGGATCGTAAATTGGCTGAGCCTGAGAGCATTTCCAGAGGCAAGCACCTGCCTCCACCCCTTGCCCAATTTCCTCTTCACAGAGGTCTGCTTGAGAGAGGATGAGCCAGGAAGAATTGCCTACAGTTTCTTGGCTGTGGACCATAGGTTTGGCCTTTCCGAAGACGTTAGCAGTGCGGAAACAAGACCCCCGAGGCTCTTCATCAGCAACCAGCCATGCTTGCCCCCTCCCAGCCTGAGGCCACCCGTACTGCATCATTTGTTGTGCTGAAAACTCAAGCTGCAGCGTCATTTTTTGGACTTGTCTCTTAAATTTAGAGACCAGCTAGTCCTTAAACTGACCTCCCCTGGGTGCTGTCCTGGGACAGGCAGTCTCCTGCTCCCTGGGCTATACAAATCAGGTATTCCTGAGACCCGCCCCTCCCTGAGAGGAGACACCAGACACATCTGAGACAGGTCCTAGTTGGCCTGATGAGGAACTGTCAGCTTTAACGCTGGATCAACCTGCCTAACTGCTTTAGGAGCAGAAATCCATTCCCTCTCAGAGCACTCTGCCTTCCCTTGCTGTCCTCAGGGATCTGTTCACACCTACGTCCAGGGCGGGCCCAGGCCTCACAGGAAGCCAGTCCCCTCTGGGGTTGTAAGAAAGAGCATGTCTAGAAAGGTCCAGAACATCAGTGGCCTTGTGAACTCTTGTCCGTGTTCATGCAGATGGCAAAGTGGCCACTTCCTAAATAGAGCTTGGCTTGTCAGGGGAGCCAAGGACATCTTACATTTGCCAGGATTGATGGCACCAGAGGCACCCACAGGGAATTAGCTTGACTTTCCGATACCCAGGGCCTTGGAGGAGGATGTAGAGGACTGAGGACAGGCACTCAGAAAAGTGGTAAATTCCAGCTCTTCTCTAATCCTGGGAATCTTTCCAAGGTGCCCAACCGTCCAGATCGCTGATTCCACAGACAGAGATTACAGTTGTGTGTGGAGGTGATTCTAAACCTAGTTTGTTTAAGGGTGACAAGGAATGAGGGGTTAGAAGATCAGTTGGTAAACTCTTGAGGTATTCTGGAATTAGCCAGTCAGAGGCTCCCGAGGTGGAAGCTGTGGCCACGAAGCTGTTCATATTCCCTAAAGAGGAGCAGGGCCCAGCTGGCCTTAGACATACCTGACAGAGAATGACTTCACGTCTTTCCTAGAGCAATCAGATTAGCATGTTGTGTCTTTACCTACAGACCAGTTTAGTCCCAGTTCCCCTAAGGCTAGTTTTATTAGGACCACGGGATTTCACCAACCACCGGGATGGTTACTGCAGGGGGAGGTGTTTATGGGGAAGGTATGTAATCTGCTTTGGTAATCTTGCCTGTGCTGTTAAACTCGGCAGCTCTGCAGGAAACAAACTTGCATAGAAGGAATTTTGTGTAACATTCTTTGAAGTTAAGATTAGGAAGTGGGTTTTTTAAAAAGAGCCTCCTCTTGCCCGCTTGCCGCTTGCCCACCGACTGACCTGACACCCAACCCTGAGGCACAGGGATTCCAGACCAGAGGAGGAGACTGGCCACCACCTGAGCTGCTGGGTCCTGGGGTGACTCCAGAGTTCTGCACCCGATCTGGAACCTTCAGATTGCCTTTCACACTTGGGCAGGTGGAAGGTCTAAGCATTTTGGAACAGGTGTGTCACTTTAGAGTTGGGGAAGAGGAATGCACGGGGAGCTCAGAAACTAGAGATAAGATCTCACTTCCTGAGCTAGCTGAGGCACAGGCGCTCTTGGATGGGCCGGCTCAGCATCTCCCTAGTCTTGCCTCCTCGGATTAGGAAATAATTCTGGAGTGTGCTCTCTCACCTACACACAGTTCAGGTCTAAATTATGCCAGGCTCTGAAACCCTATCCCGCCGGTTCCCAGTAGCCAGCCTGCAATCCTGCCCGGTTAAGTAGAAGGACAGAGCACCTAGCAGACCCGTGGTCTCTCTCCAGAGCCCCAACCCAGCCAGTCTCCGGGATAAACTGGCCCTAGGCAGTCGGGCGGTTGGATATCCTCCTGCCTTGCACTAAGTTCCGAGAGACACCGGTCCAGTTTTCCCCAGTCCCAACCTCCACCCCGCGCACACGCAGCGATCACTTACGTGGGCAAGGCCCGCAAGACGATGAGACCTCGGTTCAGACGGCATCCAAGCGGCTGCGTTGAGCGCGCAGGACCTCACTCCACACCCCAAGACAGGCGCTAAGAAGGAGCAATTAAATTCACGAGTACGACAGGAAAATCAGGACGAGCCAAGTGGCTTTGGAATTGTGATGGAGTCATTAGTCGGTTGTTACTGCAAAGCCTCACCGTGTGGTTCGGTGATTAAGGGAAAAAAAAAAAATCTTTTAGGCGTTGGCAAACCCTTTATTGGTTTACAGAATTTGGGCTGTCGCTTTTTCCCCTTCCTTCCTTCTTTCCCTCCTTCCTTTTCTTTCTTTCTTTCTTTTTTTTTCTTTCTCTCTTTTGTTTTTCTTTTTTGCTTCAACCACCAGGCTGCATGAAATATTTCGGCCCACAGCCTCACGCCCTTACACCGAAAAGGAATTCCGCAGGCAGGAGCCACTGCGGAAGAAGTTGAGAGGAGAGAGAGAGGGAGAGAGAGAGAGAGACTCCCCTGCACTCATATCTGTGGCGACATCATCAATGTAATTTGTTTTGAATGTTCATTTTTATTGGTGTTCCCTCTGCCAAAATGTGCTTGATTACAGAGGTCTGTCCTGTGATCACTGCGCACTCCAGACAGGAGAAGGTGCCGCGGCGAAGGTTCAGCTCAGGCCAGATCAAATCCTGGGCTGTTTAACGCTGAAAGGCTGCATGTTGCTATTAGTGTTAAATATATGGCTAATTATGCGTATGAAAATTAAACATCAGTGTTATGCTAATGGGGCGCCTTCAGCTGCGGATCTGAGCACTTGAGACTACCATTTAATCAAATGAATCAGTAACTAATACGTGTGCACGTGTGAACTTTCACAAGATCATTTCCCCGTCGCCCCCCCCCCCCCGCCACACCGCTAAATTATGAAAGAAATAATTATCAACACTTTCTAATTACCTAACAGAGTAATTTGGGATTCATCGTGGGGCCGGCGGGACCGGGAACCAACAGTCCCTAGCAACCAACGTGATTTGCGCCACGCCGCGCGGGGTGGCTGCGTGGTAGTGGTGGTGGCTGGGGGCCAGAGAGCCCTTTGTGCACTTTGTAATACTTGCAACCCAGAAGGTGGACGGCGTCTTGGCGGCCCCTCGCCTCCATCCGCTTGCCCACCCTACCCCCGGGCCCGGGGGCGCCAGCTCCGGCCACTGGAGGTGAGGAAGAGATTGGGCGACCGAGAGGGGCAGATCGAGAGACACAAATAGCCAAGCCTGCCGCAGGCCTGGATTTGGTGAAGGTTTCGGTGTCCCCCCCCCCCCCCCCCGCCCAGGACTTCCAACCCCAAGTACTCTGGCCAGCCCCCGGGAGGCCGGAAAATGACCACCTGGCGGGCGTTTGGCGCTGCAGCCTCCAGGCGCCCGCAGGCCCCCGGACTCCACGCTGCGCCGCGCCCTCAAGGCGAGTGAGCCCGGGGCGCACGGCTCGGGGGGAGGGAAGAGGGGAGGGGGCGGGAAGGTTGGGAGGGCCCCGGGGGGAGGCGGTGCGGCCGCCTTCCCTGGGAGGAGAAGCGCGGGTTCCCGGCCCTCCGCACGCACTGCTCTCGGCAGAGCCTGGCAGCCTGGAGCGCAAGCGGCCAGCCGGGCCCGGAGAGATGCGAGCGAGCCCCTGGGAGCGGCGGCGGCGGCGGGGCGGCGGCCGAGTGAGTGGGTCGGGCCGGGGGACCCCCAAACCCCGAGCCCCGGGATGTGGTCGAGAGGACCCCGGCCTGGGAGGCGCGGCCTGGAGCGCGCTGAGCTAGGCGCGGGACGCTCGGGAGGACCGCCGGCTGCAGGCTGCCTGGGTAGTCGCCCAGGGCGCGACTCCGCCAGCCAGAGGCCGCGGCCGGATTCTGGAGCGGCGCTCCGCACCGGCCTGGGTGACGGCGAGGAGGAGCGGTCCGGGGTCCCAGGCGTTGGGGGGCGGGCGGAGGGTGGGGACAGCGAGGGGGAGGGCGACGGCAGGGAGCGGCTGCTTGGTGTCGGGGGCGGGCGGCGCGCGAGGGAGGCGGGAGGCCGGAGCGGCGCGCCCTCGAGGTCTCGGCGAGCGGGCGCCGCAGCCCATTGTGCGCCCCACTCGGCGCGCTCTGCCGCAGAGGAGCTCCGGGCCGGACGCGCCGAGCCGACTCTCCCTAGGCCGGGCCGCGGCGCCCGCTCTAGTCCAGCCGAGCCCGAGCTTCTCGGACCAATCCCCGGTGATTATGCAAGAGAGCCGACCAATCAGCTCCACCAGCTCATGAATATTTATGACCTTGGCTGAGTCAAAGCTTTGAACCGAGTTTGGGGAGCTCGGCAGCATCATGCTTAGACTTTTCAAAGAGACAAACTCCATTTTCTTATGAATGGAAAGTGAAAATCCCTGTTCCGCTTAAATTGGGTTCCTTCCTGTCCTGAGAAACATAGAGACCCCCAAAAGGGAAGCAGAGGAAAGACCCACACTCAGACCCCGCGAGAAGAGATGACCATGACCACCATGCCAGAAAGTCTCAACAGCCCCGTGTCGGGCAAGGCGGTGTTCATGGAGTTTGGGCCGCCCAACCAGCAAATGTCTCCTTCTCCCATGTCTCACGGGCACTACTCCATGCACTGTTTACACTCGGCGGGCCACTCGCAGCCCGACGGTGCCTACAGCTCGGCCTCGTCCTTCTCCCGACCGCTGGGCTACCCCTACGTCAACTCGGTCAGCAGCCACGCGTCCAGCCCCTACATCAGTTCCGTGCAGTCCTACCCCGGCAGCGCCAGCCTCGCCCAGAGCCGCCTGGAGGACCCAGGTACGTGCGCTCGCCAGGGACCAGGAGAGAGGAGAAAGGGAAGGGGAGCGAGGGGGCAAAGGGGAGGGGGAGAACGAGAAGACAAGAGAGGGGTGTTGGAGAGAGAGAGAGAGAGAGAGAGAGAGAGAGAGGTGAGTGGGGGGTGGGGAAGGCGCGGAAGTCGTAGAGGTTTCGGATATCAATCTATGGATCCATGTCACTGAAAAGAAAAAAAAAATTATAAGTCAATTCCGTTTACAACTGTCCGGCAGAGGATAAATGCGAGCGTGTGGCGCGGCCCCGGCCGGGCCTGTGGGCCGCTTGGTGCGCCGCTCACACAATGCCCCGCCGCAAAACAGAAACCCACATGTGCGCGTACTAGTCTCGGTAATTATTTATTGCGTAGCGCCATAAACAATGTATGCAATTAAGGGTAATTAAACCTCAACTACCGCCTGCGAAAAATAGCAAACTTTCCTCGCAAAGGCAATAGCTGCGCTCTCGGGAACGGCCCAATCCCGCCTGCAGCAGCCAGGGCCCCGCGCTCGGACCCCGAGGGACCCTTCGCAGACCTTCGGGGCTCCTCGAGCGTCCTCTCCCGGAGCCTGCCTCTGCCAGCCCAGCCCCAGACCCCGGTCCTCGACGCTCCGCCGAGAAGGCAGCCCAGCCTTCACAAAGGTCTCTGCTTCTGTCGTCCCCGCAGGGGCGGACTCCGAGAAGAGCACCGTGGTGGAAGGCGGAGAGGTGCGCTTCAACGGCAAAGGGAAAAAGATCCGCAAGCCCAGGACGATCTACTCCAGTTTGCAGCTGCAGGCTTTGAACCGGAGGTTCCAGCAAACCCAGTACCTGGCTCTGCCTGAGAGGGCGGAGCTGGCGGCCTCCTTGGGACTCACGCAGACTCAGGTACCTGGCTGCAGCCGCCTCCACAAACAGGCTCCCGGGCTCGGCTTGTGCCCCAGGCTTCGATTTTTCCCCCCCGCTGGGCCTCCGGTTCTAGGTGTCACTGTGCCTGTGTGAGTGTGTGTGTGTGTGTGTGTGTGTGTGTGTGTGTGTGTGTGTGTGTGAGTGTGACCACCTCTGACTTCCAGAGTCTTCCCTCCTCCCTCGCGCTGTCTGCCCTAGCTCGGACCCTGCTCTGACCTGCAGGCCGTCCGGTCTTCTGTCCCTGGCTTTCGGATCAGGGAGCAGGAAGGATTTCCCCCGGACGTTTTGTTTGGAGATTCTGAGGTCACACGTGCCAGAACTGCTGGAACAATAGGAGGAGGATTTAATCTTCCTTGGCTAATAATGGGGGTCCTGGGCCTAAGCCTGCTCCCTTCTCCTTCTCCTGAGGTGGCCGGGGAGAATCCTTCCCTCTGCCCCTCCACTTCCCAAGTTCCAGGTCCTGAAGAAGAAACGAAACAAAACAAAACAAAACAAACAAACAAAAAAACAAAACAAAACACGTGAGATCCCTTTTCCCTGCACTTCTCTGAGACTGTGGAAGTTCGTAGGCGTTCAAACCAGAGCTGATACCGGCTTCCAAAGTTTGTCTCTAGATGTAGATTGGAGCTGGGGAAAAGCGAACACAACTAAGGGGGGGGGGGCTGGATTGAGTCTAAAGAAAAGTTTAACAGAAAAGGCCGTGGCTTCCTCCAAACTCAGCGGAAGGCCGAAAGTTCGGAGCGAAGGAAAGGCGGCCCTACTGTCAATAAACGCCCTCCACTCCTGGCTAGGTTTTACGATTTCTTTATTGATGTTGCATCGTTTTGCTTGCTAGAGGTCTTCCATAAACGTCAGCCCCGGTGGCACTGACCCATTTGCAAGCCGAGCCAAGGCCTGGGTCTCCCCTGGCCTCCCTCCCAGGGGTGGGTGGGGTGTCTGAGAGCTGCGCTGAGTGAGCGGCCGGCCGGACTGGGGCCTCGGTTTCCTAGGCTTTGGCTCTCAAGGAGGGTAGGAAGGGGCAGTGGTCTCTGCCCCTCCAGCCTGGAGCTGCTGCCATCTCTTGCCGAGCAGGGAGGGCGGGTTTTTCCTCCACCGGTCCCTCCTCTCCTCTCCAGCCCCGGGTAGGCCCGGTGGTCACAGTCCAGTCACGCTGTTCGCCCCGTTCTTGCAGGTCAAGATCTGGTTCCAGAACAAACGCTCCAAATTCAAGAAGCTGATGAAGCAGGGTGGGGCGGCTCTGGAGGGCAGCGCGCTGGCCAACGGCCGGGCCCTGTCCGCCGGCTCCCCGCCGGTCCCGCCCGGCTGGAATCCCAGCTCTTCGTCCGGGAAGAGCTCGGGCAGCAGCGCCGGCTCCTACGTCCCCAGCTACACGTCCTGGTACCCCTCAGCGCACCCAGAAGCTATGCAGCAGTCTCAGCTCATGTGAGCTCGTCCGTCCGCACTCACCCGCCTCCGTCCCGTCTCTCTCGGCCCGGCCCCACCCGCCTCCAAGCCCAGCCACCCCTCCGAGGGCCCTGGGCCGGGAGAAGGGCCCGGAGCAGGGCCCGGAGCTGAGGGGGGAAAGAGAAAAGAAAGAGGAACAGTTAAGGCAGAGGGCTTGCGGCCTCCTCGCAGCCCCTGAAGGTCTGGCCCAGCGACTTTCCAGTTCTCGGCCTGAACCTGGCCTGGGCTGTGGTGACGGCAGAGTGGCCTGAAAGCGGGCACGGCCGCTGGAGACAGGCCAGAGCGAAAAGACAACCCGCTGGGCCAGAGCAGACTCACAGCTTCGTGAGACCATCAGGAAAAAATATATATATGTAGGAGGGAAAAATATGCTCTTTTTTTTTTTTTTTTCTCGGTTCTGTCCGTCTTTGTCTCCTTTCTGCACTGTCTGCGCGCTGAGTCAAAGTCCTCCTGTGTCTGCTGTCCTCATCCTGCGGCTTCTCCAAAAATCACCAGGCCTGAGCCACACCCGGTCGGCGGGCGGCCCATCACCGACTCCTGGAAGGCTTTGTCTTTTATGGTCTTCTTCAGGGCCCTGCTTGACCGTCTGTGTAGTTTGTTTGGGAAATGGGGGAAATCAGAGGGAGGGGGGTTAATTTATTGAAAAACAGACTTCGTCTGACGCTGAGTGTTGGCCAATTCCAAGTCCTCTGGGGCATGGAGTGGGCACTGCCCAGACCTACTGTTTACCTTAAATACAGCAGACAAGGGAGCAAGGAGGGCAGAGTGGTCTTAAAGGAACACCGTAACTTTTGTACTTTGCTGGAATGGAGAAGCGGAAGCAGAGCAATTTGCATTTTACACTCTCCAAATTATTAAAAACAAACAAATAACAAAAGAAAGAACGAAGTGACGAGAGATAAGTAAGGCCAACGGAATTTTGCCAGGACCTCTTGGAGAAGAACATCCAGCAAAGAAGAAGAAGGAAAAAGAAATAAATCATACTTTGGGCAGCAAGAGAGAGGACCAATGGGCCTTGGAGAGAAAAGAATTTGTCCTGTGTGAGCACCCCAATTCCAGGCCGCTTTAAAGTAAGACATAAGCAGCTTTAAATGATCCCCAGTGGCTCAGAGCACAAGTCATCATCCCGGACGCACGGTCTCTGGTGCAGGTTCTAATTGCTGTACATATTATTATTATTATTGTTATTATTATTATTATTAATGATTATTATTGTTCCGTAAACATGTTGCACAGCTTAGCCTCTTTCCGTTCTGTCGTGTGTGGCTGTGAACCCGATGCTTTGTGAAATGAGAATCTTGACATTCTCCTTGTGAAATTTGGAAAATGTGACCAACTGAGATCAACCGTGTTTTGTGTTCTCTATGTCAAAGTTTAGTTTTATATTGAGAATGTTAACTTATTGCTTTGTATCGGGGGGGGGGGGGGGGAGGCGAGGGAAACTTTGTAAATAAGTTATAAAGTTTCTTTGAGACAGTAAAATTATGGTTTCAAGAAAGAGCTGCTGCCTCCTGTGCTGTGTGGAGGGCAAAGCGGTGCCCCTCCCCCGCCCCGGGTACAGTCACAAACTACCTAACACTTAACAGACTACTTACTGGGGCCGGATTGGGGGACCCCTAATGTCCCACCACGGTCTGTGGGGCGCCCCCAGAGGCCTGCTCCTCTTACCTCTCCCCTTCAGCCCGTCCTGGGATCCTTGCCTGGGCTGGAGAGGTGGAATGCCTAGGGACAGTTGGCGCTTTTGACCCAGGAGCAGGTGTTCTAGGGCAGAGCCCTACCTCAGGTGCTCAGCCACGGAAGAGCGCTGAGGGCAGGGAAGGGCAGAGCCCAAGGGCAGCAGCAGGCCCGGGAGGCTGCAGTCCTCTCCTGGCGCCTTTTCACTTCTTAGGACCCCAGGAAACACCCTGCTTTGCCCCCGCCACCTTCCCATCCCCAGACACCCCCCCCACCCCCCATCGGACCTGCCAGATTTCGCTTGACCAAAGGCACAGCATAGAGTCTTGGCAGGGACAGGAAGCAAGCGTCTCCCAAGCCACTGCCCCAATCAATCACAGAGGTCCTTGGGGACAGGACAAAGTCTCAGGGAGCCACCAAGATCCTTCCACGGGGGGGGGGGGGGGGGGAGTCATTTCCCGCTTTATGCCCAGGGACTTCTCTACATACTCACGGGCTAGAAATTCCAAGGCTCAGGGAGGTTAGGCGAATTTTGAACCTGAGAGCTGACCCTAGCCACCCACCCCAGCCCCGAGTTCCAGATGCCAGTCCATTCTGAGAACACCCCCTTAGAGCGCCGAGATCAAGTTTGCTTCAAAAGAACAAGGACCCCACTAGCGTAGAACCAGGGTGGTTCCCTCGCCTGTCTGATGGTCTCAGCCCCGGCCCAGCCCCTGCCCAGCCCTAGCCCAAACCCCGGCCCGGGCGGGAGGCTACTGAAAACCGTGGCCCCGACGGCGGCCGGTTTTGCGCGGTTCCCGCTTCCCTGGCGCCCGCCTGCTGCCCGAGGGGGCTGGCCCTCCGCCTTTGGGGGGCCCTTTCCGGCGCGCGGTGGGGAGCAGAGCCGGGGAGGCAGCGATCTGTGTTGTGACAAGCACCCATTTTTCAATTGGTGCTGGTGAAAGATCAGATGCGCGAAGCTCTTCCGACGCCCTTTGGGAAGGGGAGGAGGAGGGGGCGGGGCTGGAGGGGGAGCCGTGTGATGGGAGAAGACCAAGAGGTAGGGCTAGATGAAGCTGCGGACTTTGATGCCTGTTCTGGGACTGAAACGGGGACTTTTCTTCCGCCGGCTGCACCAGAACCAACGGGCGCTCAGTGGCGAGATCAAGATGGAGAGACCCGGATTGAAACAGAGCGAAACCGCTTCTCAGGCTAGGCCCAGGAGCGCTTGCTGCAGCCGGAATCCAGCCAGGCCTGGATTCGGTTTCCGCGGGGATACGTGACTTCTCGAGGAATGAGACTTTTCCCACTCATCTGCCTCAGTCCACCAGCGGACAGCTAGTCCCCAAGCGCTCAAGCCACAAGCAAAATCTCTTTGGTCAAGCCGATTTTAATACTTTGAGATATTAGCTTATACTAATTTAATAATCTCTTGCTAACAGTTCAAATAGAGAAATTATTAGTTTTAGCTCAAGGAAGGCGGTGTTTAGTTAGGCTCTATTATAATTATAAGCGGTTGTACTTTTTTTAAAATGTTAATCTCAATATAGGCCTAATTAATGCTGCCTTGTTACTGACAAGTAGTTCATCAAATATCTGATTCAAAGATTTTCATAATGATTATATTAATTAAACTATGAATAATCTAAATGTGGTTATATTTAAACAATACCTCATTATAATGATTAAATACTGATTTCGAATATTATGTCTTAACAATTGTCACATAGAAAACACAACCTTTCCTTATGTATGAGTCTGTAATGGCAAAATGCAATTTTGGGATTTTTTTTTCCCTTGTTCAAAAAATGTGAACCTCATTTTAAAACACTTCTGAAATAGGTTACACACAGCTTAATGATTATCAAAATGACTCTTTTCTGCAAAAAAAGACCCCAAAGTGCGCGTACAGCTGCAAACCCAAGAGGGTCAGCATCATTTCACTGTATTCTCTTCTTGATTACAAGCCGGGCCCATCAAACACAACATAATTACAGTAATTTCAGGTTTATTTATTCTAATGCAGTTTCCCCATCTCTCTGGTAATTATGAGCAATTTTTTCGCCCAGGGAATCTTTTTGCATTAACAAAAGAGATAACGCACTGAAAGCCAAATTTGCTGTGCATTGAGAAAAGGAAAAAAAAAAATCAAATAGGTGCGAGCTGCCATCTCTGCAATTCTCCGGTACCGGAGCCGGCAAATTGCTTGCAGGTGTATGAAGCAAGCTTGTCCATGGCCGGGCCTCCAAATTAGCAAATGCACAGCGGCAGAGTAATGAAGACAGACTTAGCAAAATTGCTAAACAACAGATACCTCTTTAATATCTTCTCTCACACACACTAGCTCTTAAGCCGGGTAGATGTGGGGTGGGGCACAGCCCCAACCTTCTCCTCACTGGTCTTGGCTTTCAGTGACTTGGATGGGCTGAGTGGACCTAGGAGTAGTGAAATCTATTGGTGGCGGAACCCAGAGCCCACATTTTGACAATATTTTAAAAAGATGAAACTGGAAACCTTTCCAGTCCACAGCTTGCCCTCACTGGTCACTGTGTTGCGTTTCTGTGTCTTTCTTCCAGGACTCTGTACCTGGCCTAGGTTAGAAGAAGAGATGGCTCTTTAGGCTTCCTGATTCTGTACTATAGCTAAGCATCACAAAAAGTTCTCAAAATCCCTTCCACCTCTATGCCCCAAAGTGTGAATTTGTTTGTAGGAGTCATTGAATGAAGAAACTAATGGAATCTTTCCCCTTGAAGAAATGGTCATCTGCCTTTCCAAAGAAGAGTAGGTGTGAATGCTGGGCATAGAACCTGGTTATTAGATTGAGAAAAATTGGGTAGAAAGTAGCCATCAATGTCCGTCCCAACCCCCACCACCGCCAATAAATCTGTACCCTAATGTTCATCTCTTTCTTCCCTGTATCTTCTGAAAGTCCATTTGCAGATCTGTCTGTGTTTTGTCACTCTCCCACCTGGGTGAAAGACCCCTGAAATCATAGACTAAAGCAAAGTTTTCTCACACAGCCATCTAACTCAGCACAGAGTGTAAGGGTCCCTTTCTCCCGTAAAAACCTTCTTCCCTTCCCCAGTTTCACAGCAAACCCCAATTCCAAAGAGGGAAAGCAAAATGCTCCAAAAGGTGCCTCCCCAGGCTGAAGAAACATTATCACACCCCCCCCCCCAATCCCTCCCCTACCCCATCCCTCCTCGCCCCCCCTTCCAATCTTCAGGGATTAACACTTCCTGAAACATCAAGTGTTTTTATAAAAAGGGGGAAAAATACTCCTGACATCGCTGACAAGAAGTTTTGATGGAAGAATTAGCTGGTGCATACATAATCACTCCCACCCTCCCGCTCCCGGAGCGGGAGCCGCGGCGGCAGAGACGCAGCCTTCCAACCCTCTGAAAAACGAAACCGCTTCCCAGCCTTACCTTCTTCAGTGTCAATTTCAGATAATCTGGACACACTCTTTCCTACATCAAATCAAAAGGGTCGAAGGCGGCTTTTGGCTGGGAGAATGACAGGAAAGAAAAAGGCAAAAAAAGAAAAAAAAAGAAAAGAAAAGGGGGGGGGACCCAGAAAAAAAATAGGAAGACACAAAAACCGACCAAAACCAGAGCAAAACAAAACCAGAAAACCAAAAAGAATCCCCCGGCCCCATCTTCCTGTGCTGAGAAACGACTGGGGGAAAGAGGTCCCCGGGACCAGGCGCCTCCGAGCGCCGCAGGCTTTTTGCATCTCTGAGCTTGCAGAATAGAACTGAAAATTTCGGCTATATAGCCTCTGTCTTTATAGCTGATGAAAAAAATTGCAGATTATTAGCATAAATGTTTACTCTTCATTACGCTGATGACATTGTGCACTCGAGATCTTGGTAATCTTTGGGAAAATTATGAGTAATTTTTAAAAATTTTAAAGCAGCAGCAGTTACCATGCAATTCAGGCTAATTCTGCGTAGGCTCCGAACGGATATAATTATCGAGGAGTCAAGATGTTATGCTAAAAACTATGCATTGATATTCCCATTTATTATGTACATACAACTTTGACAATGTTGATGCTTGAAATAGCAGGAAATTGTCTTGCGCAAAAATTACAGTCCATATTAGGACATCTGAAATTGCGAAGAATTATATAGTAATTGCAGGCTTTCAGACGGGAGAGCCAGAATGCTCAAACTAGTGCAAATGTGGATAAAATTACAGATCAGAGCAAAAATTAGGGGAAAAGGGGGTCTGGGATTTTTCAGGTTGGCTATAGGATTCCGGAAGTGTCTAATGCCACATGATTGCTGCAGCTTTAGGGGAGACATTCAAGCCTCAGATAGCGCCTTGGCCAGGGCGGCCTTAATTGAATTTCTTGGGCTTTTTTGTTTTAATAGGGGCAAATGAGGAAATTGACCACCCAAGACAAATTTTTCACTGTTCTACCCCCTGAGAACGTGTGGAGAAGCGAGTCCCTTTCCTCGCGGCGTGTTCTCTGAGGCGGGGACTCCCGGGAGGTCTCAGACCCCACCCCACCCCCACCCCAAACGCAGCAACTGAAGAGTGAACGGACAGCCCTCCCACCCCCCAAGGCGTACACTTCCATTTTCCTCCCCCCCCCCCTTCCATGGGCCCCTTTTCCGGATTCTTCTTCACCTCCTCCAGAGCGCATCACTGCAGGCCCTGGGACGGGACGGCCTGCACTCTAGGGGCCGGGGTGGAGGGGCGTGTGTGTGTGTGCGTGCGTGCGTGCGTGTGTGTGTGTGTGTGTGTGTGTGCACGCGCGCGCAGTAGTGCCTGGAAAGATCACCTCGGCAAAGAGGCCAGTGGCTTCCTAGTGCCTACCCCGCGGAACCCGAG